TTTAAGTTCGTATGCTAGCACTCAGTGCCTCTGTCTGTCATTCAGATAATTTGTATTGAATATTAGCACTAGGCATGTGTCATCTAAGGTAACAGAAACTTCCCAGGGCTTGTTTTCTTTATCATGAGCCTCTGCTTCCAGCAGTCTGTTCTCTTTACTCACTTGCATCCTCTTCCTTTGTGAAGCAAGTCTCCATCCCATAGACCTTTCCCTCAGCCTGGGTAAACCTTGCCCTGGCCTCCCTTGCAGTGAAGCTGCCTGAAGTCTGATCATCTTCGTGGCCCCTTCCCTGACTGCAGCAGTCACATGAGCACTTTCTCCCTCCGTGCCACAAAATGAGGTTCATGTCTTGTCCCAAAGATTCAAGGTCTAGAGGAAGCAACCTTATTTATTTTAAAAAATGCAAAATCTGCCTTGTGTTATATATTCATTGTTATTAATTTGTTTAGTACTCTGTAAATAGTAGTCAATTAATATTGTAGTAGAAGGAATTTAAACTTCCCCTTTCCCTAAAGGGAATAAATATCCTTTTGACAGTTAGGGTTCTTTCATTGGGGTATTAGCTAAATTTGAGAGTAGGACGCTTTCTAAAGACTGGGGTGGGGAATTGGTTGGGGGGATTTTGTTTTGGTTTTTCAGTGTTAGGGATTTGCCCCAGGGTCTCAGGAATGGTACAGAAACACCACCACTGAACTACAACCTCTGTCTCTAAAGACAAGAGGGAGTTTGAAATCAGTGCTCATTATAATTATAATAGAAAGTCAAGAAAGAGCAACCAAAGTTGGTCTGCAGTTTCATTAGGCAGCTTGAAAGGAATTTAATAACAGTAGTTTGAGATTGTTCATAGGCCCTAACTTGTTTGGAGTTGCCCTATAAGTCAACAGCAGAGCCCCTACTGGACGCACCCATGTTCCTGTGTGCACCATAGCCATGCTCTGTTTTGATTAGAGACTTTTCTTACTGGAAGGCAGGACAGTCTGTAGGCTTCAGAGTTGTTGGTTTGTTGTGTTTTCTACTGGAAACTCCAGGATAACATTCCCTGGCCAATATTTCTTTAAGAATTGGCTTCCCTTCAGAAATACTCACTGCCTTAAGGCTGAGTGTGGTGGTACATGCCTTTAATCCCAGCACTCGGGAGGCAGAGACAGGCAGACGTCCGTGAGATCAAGGTCATCCTGGTCTACATAGCGAGTCCAGGCCATCTGGGGCTACAGGGAGACCCTGTCTCAAAAAAGGACACCCCCCACCCCAAGAACCACCACCATCAACAAACCAAAAAACAGAAATGCTCATTGTTTTAAAGTTGGCTCTGAGACCATCCCTGAAAGGAGCCTTCCCTGGCATCTCTATTTTTGTTTAGAAACCACCCCTCAAAGGAGCCTTCCCTGGTGTTACCATCTTTGTTTAGGGACCTGTCTCCATGCTCTGCACATACTTGGTACCTGCAATTACTGTAACAGCTTGTACACTGAAGACACCAACAAATGTTTGAGTGACAATAATTTGTAGTATTCTCTAAAGGACCTTCTAGAAATAGCTAAATAAAGTGTCAATGAAAAATATGCTTCAACCAAAAAGGCAGATAGTAATAGTTTGAGAAAGAAATAATCACCCATGAATATTCAGAACCTGTGTAGACACCAAAATCGAACACATTCTCAGGTTCCTTATATAAGATAGCACTGTATATGCATCCAATTTACCCAGCCCTCTCCTACACTTTAAATCACCTTTACATTATTAATAATGTATAAATCAACATAAATAAGTAAATAATTGTGCTATATTATTTAAGGAACAATAAGAAAATAATTGTACATATTCAATATTGACCTTTTTTTGTAGCACTGCGGATTGAAGCCAGAGCTTGGTGCATAGTAAGCAAACATTTTTCCATTAGCTTACAGCCCCAAGTCCTGTCATAATTTTTTTAAATTATTTTTTATTGAGAATTTCATATCTGCGTATAATGTATTTTGATCACGTTCCCCCCAGTCCCTCCCCTCCAATTCCTCTTCCTCTCCTAGTCCCTTTACCACTCGTCCCTCCCAGTTTTGTGTTCTTATTTTTAAACCCACTGAGTCCACTTAGTGCTGCCAATATATGCCTGGGTATAGGACCACCTACTGGGGTTTGGGTAACTTCTTATGGACTGTATCACTGAAAAAAACTGAGCCTCCCTCTCCTAGTCACCATCAATTGCTAATAACTCCTCAGCTAGCTGTAGGACTTCATGAGCCCCTCCCCTGTCCATACTGGGATTTTGGCTGGCTTGGTTTTATGCAGGTCCTCTGCATGCAGTCATAGCTGCCATTAATTGATGTGTGCAACTGCCCTGTCATGTCTGGAAAATGCTGTTTCGCAGTAGTCATCACTGTCTTTGACTCTTACAATCTCTCCATCCCTTCTTTCATGATGATCCCTGAGCCTATGGAGGAATATAAATGTTTCATTTAGAGCTGAGCCTCTTTTCTCTGCAGGTTGACCAGTTGTGGGTCTCAGTATTAATCACCATCTACTCTACAGGAAAAAGAAGTTCCTCTGATGAGGACTGATAGATCCACTAATCTATGGTTATAAAGATAAAAACTTAGGAGGCAGTTTAATATTATGTCTGTTTGGCAGAATAATAGTATTAGGTTCTCCCTTGGGGCCTATGACCTAGACAGCCACAAATTCTTGGCTCTGTTAATAGTGCTAGGCATGGATTCCATCTTGTGAAGAGGCCTTAAATCCAATCAGAAAGTGGCTGGTTAATCCTATAACCTTCATGCCACTATTGCACTAGTGGACATATCTTGCCAGGACAACTACCCATTATAGCTCACAAGGCTCACAACTGGGAAAGACTGTTGGTTACATTACTCACCTGGTGTGCAGAGCACCTCTGGCACTATGAAAGCTAGCCAGTAGGTCTGAAGCCTCCAGATCAGTACCAGCATGATTTCTCCATGTTCTTCTATTCAAATATGTGGTGTCTTACCATGAAATTCCTGACATAATTTTAAAAATATATTTTTAACCTTCACTTGGTTGAATTCTTGGGCACAGAGCTCACAGATATGAAAGGCCAATTGTACAGTAAATTAGCCTTACCACCTCTTGCCGATATTTTTTGCCTTAAATTCCTCTCTTTTCTGTAATGATGAGCCATCTGAAATATGCATTTGGCATGTGAGTGGTTCTTACCTCTTTGTGAGATGCCATCCCTTAAAAAAGAGGAGGAAGGCATATATTCTTGTGAGACCTTAAAGAGGAAGAGCAAAGACATTCCAACACAGTGATGTCTGCTGTCTTGTGTTTTATTCTTACAGATCCAACATGTCTCCAAGTTGAGTGTCTCACTTATCATCTTGTGTATTATGTGATCACAAAAGCTGCCACTCCCTTCTATTTTATTTTGGAACAAGACGTCACATAGATAACCGAACATTCAAGATGTAACTTTGTGCATATTAATCTAAGTTATGCTGAAGTAGCAAGCACCACTAAAACCTCAATAATTTAACATAGCAGAAGTTTGTTTTTTTCCTATTGGGGAGAGCATTGAGAATTCAGGGTGGCTTACTCCATGTGGTGACTCAGCATTCTGAGCTGTTACAATCCAAGTCTCTCCTTGCCAGCATGTGCTTATATTGTTGCCACCGATGGAATAAAAACCTGGTGACTTATACTCTGAATCCTCAGTTATTTGCTTGACAAGACATTTAGACATGCACAGTCTTACAAGGAAGGCAGTGAAATTTAATCTTCAACAGTAGAGAATTGGAAATATTGGTGAACACTGAGAGCCACCAAGTCAATTTTTTGTTCAAGGAATGGGGGGAAGTAATGGTTTCATATTAGTATCTCTTTCAATTTTCTGGCTTTTCTGAGCATCTTAGCAAGACCATAAAATGGAAGTAAATTGAATATTCTAGCGCACTATTTCTGATCAAATATATAGATGGTTGGGCAAATGATTAATTGCAGTACTGTGGAAAGGGACATACCAGATGAGCCTGGGATACCATGGAAAGCCAGAAAATTAGCAAATGCTTAAAAAAATAGACCTTTTCAGAATAAAAGAGCCCACCTAGGTGGACATAGTTAAAACAACTTTAGCAACAACAAAATAAGAACAATAGTATTGGGTTTTAACTTTTAGAGTTAGATATCCATAAGTCCATACATTAAAAGTTGAGTAAATGGGGCTGGAGAGATGGCTCAGCGGTTAAGAGCACTGACTGCTCTTACAGAGGACTCGGGTTCAATTCCCAGCACCCACATGGCGGCTACGAACTGTCCTTAACTCCAGTTCCAGGGAAATCCAAAGCCCTCTCTTGACCTCTGCAGCAATGCACGACACGGGTGCACTCACGTACATGCAGGCAATACACTCATTCACATAAAATAAAAATAATTTAAAAAGTTGAGAAATAAATAAATGAGAGTGCACAAATCAGATAATATGAATGGTGACAAGATATCTGCATCAAACCACTGGATGACCACTGAGAAGGACACACTGTCATCCACTGCCCTGAAAGACAGAGGAACCAGCACAGAGCAGAGGAGACTCAGAAGTAAATAAATTCAATGAAGGAAACTCTAGGACGTGAGAAGAGATAGGTCTACTAGTAAAAGAGCTAGTGAAATTACAGTGAGGTTGTTACTCTTTCTGACAGTTTTGCCATGGTTAGTAATGTCAATATTAGTGGAAAGCAAAAGCATGTACTAAATAACTTCAAAATCAAAGGTTATAATTCAAATGAAATAAAATATATAAGGTGACAAAAACTTAAGTATTTGGTTTTTGTTTGTTTGTTTTGAGAGAGATAGGATCTCCCTGTTGCCCCAGCTGGCCTGTGTAGAGCAGGCTGGCCTTGAACTCACAGAGATCCACCTGTCTCTGCGTCCTGAGTGCCGAGATTAAAGGTGTGTGCCACTACACCCAGCAAACCTAAGTATTTGAATAAAAGCAATCTATTCTTTTGTTCTTTCTATTGCAATATCCACAGCGGAGCGACTTTCAAACAGCTGGCTGGATGTTCGTCATATTGAAAAATATGTAGACCAAGGTAAAAGTGGAACAAGAGAACTGCTGTGGTCCTGGGCACAGAAAAACAAGACCATCGGCGACCTTTTACAGATTCTCCAGGAGATGGGGCATCAGCGAGCTGTCCATATACTTAGGAACCATGGTAAGCATGATCTTGTGTTGCAATTCTCCATCCATCCTTCAGGAACTTTCACTTGGAAATAGAAATACTGCATTTTACCCAAGACACTGGCCTGTCATGCTGTCAGTAATCCTTTACCTCTTACTTTTGTCTGTAGTGAAACTTGCAGCTTCACACTGTGTGTGTATGTGTGTGTGTGTGTGTGTGTGTGTGTGAGAGAGAGAGAGAGAGAGAGAGAGAGAGAGAGAGAGAGAGAGAGATACTGAGAGACTCGTTTCTGCCACACTCCAGGCTAGCTGGTCTGTGAACTTACAGGCGATTCTCTTGTCTCTCCCTCCCATCTCATTCTTTTGGTGCAGGGGTTACAGATGTGTGCCACAGCATCTGGCTATTTATGTTGAATTTAGTTATGGACTAAATGAAGATGATATTATGATGGTCTTAGTTTTGATGATGATCCAAATGTCATCAGAAAGTTAAGAATATCAAGTGCATCTGGCTTTTCTCTGTGGGTTCTGAGGACTGAACTCAAGTCACCAGGCTTGTGTGCCAAGCACTTTTATCTGCTGAGCCATCTTGTCCAACCTATCTTCTGGTACTGTGTCATGCTTTCCATTCTGAGATAATTGGTCAGCAAGCTCATGAAGCTTTTCCTGCTTATTCTCCGTCAGTAGGCTTTTAACAGCATCTCTTCTCTTTCTTCTACTTGGACTCGCTTCAACAATAATGACCTGAGTGAACTTTGGCCTTTAGTTATAGACGCAGGTCTTTTATGCTGGAAACTTTTTTGAATCAACATCATTCTTTGGCACATTTAATCAAGGCATATTTTCAGTTTTGTGTATTTTCATCTTTGTTCTTTGGTAATATATTAAGTGTGCAGGATCCTCTCCCTTGTTACCCAAAGAAGGTTTACGTACAAGAAGAAATCCTTAGAGATTTGGACCAGAAAAGTATAGTTTCAGAATAATTTTTATTTGGTAGATTTTTATATTAATGGGGCATTAGTTTTCAATGGGCTTCCATATTGAAAGCCCATATTATCATATGTGTTGGTCGATGTTGTATGCTACTCCTCCCTGGGGGATGTACCACAAATGTCTGTTTATCCCAGATAGGGAACCAATGACAAACCAAAGTAACAATACCACTGTGATCCAAATTGATGAACTGGGGAGTTTATTGGGGTTACTTATAGGAGTGTGAGTGAGGGGTTATTTTCAGAAGCAGGGACAAGTCAAAGGCAGCTGCATCACCAAAAGCCCACTGAAGTGTGGGTGATGACTCACCCACAACAGCTTGATCCCTGGAGCTCTCTGCACCTGCAGTCAGTCCACAGGATGAAAAGCCTCCTCTGGGCAGCTCAGCTGGTCTCCATCTCCTCTGCTGTCCTTCCTGCTTATATAATCTTGGAAAGGAAAGGGCCTTGTATATCTAGTCAGTTTCAGAAATTTCCTAAGGCATCTGAGTTGTTTACTTCCTGAGTCACGACAAGCCCTCCTACCCTGTCCTTTCCCCACTTAGAACTTCCTGTGTCTTAGGGAATTCAGAGGAAACTGTACATAGCAGTTGATCCTTTTACCTTTTGTATGTGGTTTCTTTAGTTGATGAAATGCTTGTCATGTAAGCAAGAGGATCTGAGTCCAATCCTCAAGACCCATATAAAAACAAAACAAAACCAAAACAGAAAAATGAAAAAGTCGGAGTGGTGGGCATGTTTGTAATCCCAGCACTGGGAGGCAGAGACAGGCAGATCCCTGGAGCTTGCTGGCCACTCAGCCTATCCTAATGAGTGAGGGTCACACCAGTAAGAGACTGTCTTGTAAAACAGGTGTTATATAAAACAGACTTATGATGTATGATGTTATGATGTTATGTTAGGTGTTATGTAAAACAGATGTTATGATGTTAACTATGGATTTTTCACACATGTTCTATATCAAGTTGAGGAAATTCCCTTCTGTTTCTTGGGTTTGCTTTTGTTTTGGTAGTTTTTAAAATCATGACAGAATATTGAATTTTGTAAAATAATTTTTTTCACGATCTATTGGTATGAACACATGTTTTGTGTCCTTTTTTATATGAATGTGATTGATTTTCAGGCTTAACCGAATCTTGGATTCCTGGGATAACCCCACTTAGTCGTGATGTGTGGTATTTCTTGTATGTAGACTTGAGTTGCTAGTATTTTGTTGAGGATTTTTGCATCTATATTCATAAGGGATAATGATCTATGCTTTTCACATCTTTACTTGGCATTTGTATTAAAATAATACTATATCCACTGAATGATCTGGGAGTTGTTCTGTCTTCTTTTGCTCTTGACGAATCTGTATAGGGTCTATATTAAACTTCAAATGTTTGGTAGAATTAACCAATGAAGTCATCTGAACCTGAGATTTTCTGTGTGGCAAGTTATTAAATGTTAATTCAATCTTTTAAAAGATTATTATAGATCCATCCTTGAGTTAATTTCAGTAGGTTGTGTTATTCTAGAATCTGTCCGTGTCCGCTGAGTTATCTGATTTCTTGGCATAATTTGTTGATATTATAGTATTCTTTATAATACTGTTTCAGTAAAATTGGTTTTTCTTGATTTTAATAATTTACCTTCACACTTTTCTTCCTTTTTCCTTCTTTATCTTTTGTAATTCCTTCTAAAGTACTATCAGTTTTGATGGTTCTTTTCAAAGACTCATCCTTGATTTTAATGATTCTTTTGGTTTTTATTCTCTATTTCCACTCAGATATGAATTATTTCACTCCTTCTACTTGCTTTAGTTTGCTACTTTTTCTAGTTCCTTAAAGTGAAAATATGTTACTGGTTTGAAATATCTTCTCTCTCTCTCTCTCTCTCTCTCTCTCTCTCTCTCTCCCTGGTCTTTTTGAGACAAGGTCTTCCTGTAGTCCCAGCTGGTCTACAACTCGCTATATAGTCCAGGCTGTCCTTGATCTCAGAGATCTGCCTGCCTCTGCCTCCAGAGTGCTTGAACTAAAGGCGTGAGCCACCATACCCGGCTTATATTTCTCTTTTTTATGGTGAGAATTTTCAAGTACAAATTTTCTTCTAAACACCGTTTGTGCCGCATATCTTACATTTTGGCTGGTTTTTATTTTCATTCATCTCAAAGTAGTTTCGGATTTAATTTGTGGTATTTTCTTTGGCTCACTGGTTGTGAATTTGGTTTTATTTCTACGTGTCTCCGAGTTTCTCAAATTTCTCTCTATAGCTGATTTCACTTTAATTCTCCAGTGTTCAGAAAGTAGACTTTGTATGAATTGAACCTTCCAAATATATTGAAGCTCATTTAATCATTCAACATATGCTGTATCTTGGAGAATGTTGGGTGTCCTCTGGAAAAGTTAATGGGAGTTCTGCATTTGGATGGAGCATTCTAAAGATACTAAGTTTAACTGGTTTATAATGTTGTTCAAGGAGTTGTTGTTGTCGTTTTGAGACAGGGTCTCCCTGTAGCCCCAGCTGGCCTAGAACTCGCTATGTAGACCAGGCTGGCCTCCATTTTACAGAGATCTGCCAGGCACTGCCTCCCGAGTGCTGACATTAAAGGCATGCACCACTATGCCCAGCCTCAATAAAGGTTTTTTAAAAAATTAATTGATGGTGTTTTGTCACTAGTTTTGCAAACAAAATAATTTAAGAATTATTAGAACATAAGAAAAGTTAGAAGGTAAAAATAAAATTTTTCTAAAGTTTGAATCAAAATGTTAGAAAGGACAACAAAAAAAATATAAAAGGGTTTAAATCTTTTGTGGGAAGCTACATAGATCACCTCAGTTCTGACAGAACTAGAAGAAAATAAAATTGTAGCCTCTATTTGGGAAGGGGTGTGAGTGTTGGTGATTGATAATGCACATACATACGCACAGGTGCACACACACAATTATTGCTAATATTTTACGGCAAAAAGAGTGAAAAAATGAACTAACCCAGGGAAGCATTATTTCATAACTTAAACAATTCAAAATCTTTGTTTGCCAAAGTTATCCCATTCCTGTAACCTTTACCCAGGATAGAAATCTTTGTTGCCCAAGGCATTCGTATTTGTTACCCTTGCATTTCTATTACCTTCGCAGCCCATGTTATAGTACTTAATTACCTTTATGCTATGTACGTTTTGCTTCCATTCCTTACATGAGTATAAAAACCCTCCAAAACTTGAACAAGGGGTCTGACTCTTTTGATTTGTGGGTCAATCCTGCTAGCATCAAATTAAACTTCCTCTCCTCACCTGAAAAGAAAAAATTAAAATACATGTGCAAAAATCTGGTAATAATAATAATAATACATTTTTCCTTTCAGTTCTCTAGTTTGTGCTGTAATTTTTAGTGCTATCTAATAGTAGTTTAAAGTAGCTAGCCATGCTTTAACTGAAAACAAGTATGTTTGAATACTTCATCATTAGAAAACATTTCACATGTGTAAATTTATAACCATTTCATTAGAATGGAGCTGAAGTTACCAGCTGTATTAGTTACTTTTCTGTTGCTGTGATAAGCCACCATGACCGAGGCAACTTATAGAAGGAAGAGTTTATTTAAGCTTACGGTTCCATAATGGTGGGGGAGGCGTGGTGGCAGAGGTGACCTGAGCAGAAAGCTGAGTGATACATCTTGAAGCAGGCACAGAAAGCAGAGAGAGACTGGAAATCCCAGGATACTTAAGAACTCTCAAAGCCCGCCCCAGTGACATACTTCTTTTGGCATGACCACTCTTCCTAAACAAAGCTTCTCAAAAGAGCGTCACCAACTGGGAACAAAACATCCAAATACTTAAGACTCTACGTGCAACATTCTCATTCAAACCACCACACTAGTGAAATATTAATTTTCATGGTCAGGAAAAGTGAAGATGCAGGACATAAACATTTTTTTTTTTTCTTTTCTGGAGCTGAGGACCGAACCCAGGGCCTTGTGCTTGCTAGGCAAGCACTCTACCACTGAGCTAAATCCCCAACCCCAGAACATAAACATTTTTATATCTAGCTCCCTTTGCTTCTCTTATAGGACCAGGCTTGAATCCTTCAGTGCAGACTCATCAGGACCCTGTGTTTCCAAACCTGTTACCTAAGGTAGATCATGTGTGCAAAGAAAATGACCCTGGATTTCTGGTACATATAATTTCATAAAGATTGAAATACCCTGGTAGGAAAATGCTGAGTATATAAGCAGTTTTTCAAAACTGGAAATGCTTTGGTTTTCTCACTTGTTTTTATTTAGTTGAGGGTTCAAGAAATTAGAGATCTATAAATATTTGAGGAGTGAGAGCTTTCTGCCTCTAGGGTAGGCCAGAGCTGAGACTTAGAACTACTGAGTAATGTGAGCTATACATTGGTCCTAATTTAGCTTTTACTTATTGACTTTTAATTAAAGAAACTATTTTATGGGGCTGGAGAGATGGCTCAGTGGTTAAGGGCACAGGCTGCTCTTGTGGAGGGCCTGGGTTTGGCTCCCAGTACCCACATGGTGGCTAACAATCTGTACCTCCAGTTCCAGGGGGATCCAATGCCCTCTTCTGGCCTCTGTAGGCATTGCATGGCATACAGGCAGGCAAGACACTCATACACATAAATAAAAAATATTTTATGTGTTTTGCCTGTATGTATAGTGACACATAGTGGCTGTGAAGGCCAGAAGAAGGTGTCTGATCCCTGGGAACTGGAGTGACAGGTGGTTGTTAGCTGCTATGCGGGTGTTGGGACCTGAACCCAGGTCCTCTGCAAAAGCAGCCAGTGGTCTTAACTACTGAGCCATCTCTCTAGACCCCTAACTCAGCTTTGAATTTTCCTGTTCTAGCTGATGTTTTGCTTGGTGCTATTAGTTTTTTTTTTTTTTTCTTTTACAGCAAATTAGCAGAGATGAATTTTATAGCATTGCAGTTCATTTACAATTGACTATAAGTGACTGTGACATTGGCATAGAAGCCTTAAGTCTGTAAGGCAATGAATACTATTGAATAAAGTGAAATAACTTTGCTTTCTACTAGCTTTCTTCTAAATTAGATTCCACGCTATTTTACTGTACATTCTCATGGGGACCTGAGGATTTCTGTTGAGACTCTGGATTTTTAGACTTATAAAATGGAATTACTTTAGCATGTATTTCTTCTTTTAGGAAACAACCAGTGTCACAGTGGATATTCTTGTCCCTGAACATAATGAAAAAGGTAAAAAACAAAATCAGTTTTTTCAGTTCCTTTAAGTCATACTTTCATGTAAATGAATTCACAGGGAGAAATACTCAATAAACATATATTCAGATTTAATATAACATTTTTATAGACACTAAAATATTTCAAATTCTGAGTTATAAAGGATGACATTGCTAAGATAAGAACCTATTGACAGGGCTGGAGCGATGGCTCAGCAGTTAAGAACACTAGCTGTTCTTGCAGAAGACCTGGGTTCAAATCCCAGCACCCACATGGCAGCTAACAACTGTCCATAACTCCAGTTCCAGGGGATCCGACAGCCTCTTCTGTCCTCTGTGGGCATTGCACAATGCAGGTGCACTTACCCACACACAGGCAATACATGCATACACATAAAATAATAAAATATTAAAAAAGAACATATTGACTGAAAATTGTCTTTATGAAACATAGCACTAGTACAATGAATATATTCCAATTAAAGGCAAATAATAAGTGAGTTTGCCACAAGGCTCTTGTGAAACTAGAAGAAGAAGAGAAAGAGGAGGAGGGTGAGGAGGAGGAGAAGGAGGAAGAACACACAGGAGCTTCACACAGAAGGACTTTCTTTGTTAGCAAAATTTGCTCTTTTTATATGCCGTAAGAAAACATTTAAAAACTTGTGTTGAGTTTTATTTGCTTCAGAAATTTTCATACCAATTGCACAGATCTTTTGAGGTGATTACAGAGAGCTACTGAAGGTCACTGTGAAAACCCAGTTGTTCCATATTACTTCTACTTTATCAGTAGGAAAAATAATTCAGTCCCATCTGGGAATAATTCTGATAAAATTTAAAGATCTCATAAGACCGTCTTGCCAGTCTTTGCTGTGAAGGATGAAGATTCCCTGGTTAAACAAGAGTTAGGAAAGTTAGGTGAGGTTTTTGACTCCTTAGCCAGAAGATATACATTAAACTATAAACATCTTTAGAGAGTATTTTGTAGAAATATAGCCAAAATTAAGCCCTGCTTTAGCCGTGCTTTCACTACTTTTTCATTTCTATTTTGAGTAGTTCTGGGCGTTGCAATCAGAGCTTCACTTACACTCCCAGCTTTCTGCTGAGTCACACCTCTAGCTCCTACCCCCTTTACACCTACACTTGGTTACCTTTAAACGTTTTCTCTCAGTGTCTTTGATGTTGTTTTTTTTTTTTCCCCCCCAAAGGCAGCATATCTTCATTTACCCTGAGAAAATCAGCTAAGCAGTTAGAAACTTTGGCTCATGAAAATTTTCTCTATAAGTAATGCTTATGAAATACTCTTTAGTTATATCAAGAATCTCGCAAAGAGGTTTTTTGGTTTGTTTTTTTTTTTTGCAAAAAAAACCTTTTTTTTTTTTTTTTTTTTTTAAGTAGTTTTAGATTCATGATGACTTAAAAGCAATGCTTTGACCTAATGACAAAGAAACAGATTCTTAGAATCACTCAACTGAGCTCTTTGGTTAGTCTCTTTGGAGATGAAATCACGCTGGTGTTCAAATATCTAAAAAGCCATTTGTTTGCATATAGAAGGATGAGGAACAGACAGACTCATGTAAATTATAGAGTACGTGGTGGGCTTCAGTCTGGGCTCCTGGCCTTCCTCCTAGACCTCCCACTGGGCTTTTATGTATTTTCCTTATATAAGCCCTACTTATAACAGTGACACTAATTCTGAAAAAGAGAAAAGGTGGCTTATCTTCCCCCTGTCTTCCTCCCCTAAGGAATACTGCTTAAATCCTCCCTCAGCTTCCAAAGTATCATGGAAGGAACCAAAAATTTCCACAAAGACTTTGTAATTGGAGAAGGAGAGTTATTTAAAGTCTACAGAGTGGAGATTCAAAACCAGACGTATGCTGTTAAATTATTTAAACAGGTATGGAAAGAATTACTATCATAGGATGGTATTTCTACTTATATGTTCCTATTTCATTTCAAAATGTGTTATTTTTCATCAACATTGAAAGTAGGTGTATTTGAAAATAAAATTTCATAGTGAAAATAAAATATATGACCTCAGGTGCTTGGAGGGACCAGAGAGATGAATGCCTATCTTGAAGGAATGTGGAAGCTAAATCCCCAGACGTATTACATGAGAAAGATTTTGCTACAAGCCATTCAGGGTCTCTGGGATTTTGCTTAATAAGATCAGATTGTGGACCTCTGGTTAGCATGAGCAGTGTCCTCTCCACACAGCCATAGCTCTGCCACAGGTGGACATTCGGCCCAGTGGTGTAAATGGTCTTTTATCACAGTTCAGGAGGGTGAGGAAGAAGTTTCCAGTAGGAGTAAGGCAGTCAGTTTTTCATCACCGTGACAAAGACCTGAGGTCAGTTTGAAGCAGGAAAGGCTTATTTTGGCTCACAGTTTCTGAGGTTTCAGTCCATGGTCAGGTGGTGCTGTTGTATACCACCCTGTGGTGAGACAGAACTTCATGGTGGAAGGGAATGGTAGAACAGAGCTGTGCAGCTCATGAAGGCCCAGAAGCAGAGAGAGGAGAGAGAGAGGGAGGAGAGAGAGAGAGAGAGAGAGAGAGAGAGAGAGAGAATATTTTTCCAGAGCATATCCCCAGTGACTTACTTCCTCCAATAAGGCCCTACATGAAGTTTGAACACTCAGGATCTAATCACTTCCCAACTGCCCCATGTCTGAACACAGTGGAACTGGGAGCCAAGGCTATAACACATGAATCTTTATAGAGGACACTTGATATTAAAACCATAGCAAGGAAGCAACAAACCAGTGACCAGAGCAGAATATGAGACAGTTGAGAGACTACAGCCTGTTAGTCAGCAGTCATGGAACATTTATTAGGGCTGGAAAGATGGTTCAGTGGTTAAGAGCACTTGATACTCTTGCAGAGTATGGTTCAGTTCCCAGCACCCACCTGGTGGTACACAACTGTCTGTGACTCCAGTTCCAGGGGATCTAACTCTACGCATGTGGTGCACATACAAGCATGTAGGTAAAACACCCATACACATAAAGAAAAATAAATCTTAAAAAATGAAATATTTATGAAACTCTTTCTATGGACTAGCCATCCTCTGTCCTCAAGGAGCTCATGGTCTTTCAGAGGAAATAGCCAATCAATAAAGGATTAAAGTGCTGAGACAGAAGAACTTTAGCAGAGGCTTTTACAGAAGGTCCCATAGTGATATCTCTTCCCACTCGAAGGAGGGGAGTGTCTGGCACAGAGCTGCCACTCCATAAACATTTCTTGAAAGCCACTGGAAAAGTGGACAACAGAAGTGACCTTTCATCTGGATTGTGAGGGTGAGTAGAATTCTGGCAGGCAGTGAGGGAGGAAAAGTCCACATGCTGGGTACCACAGATAGCAGATGCGAGGGCCCAAGGTATGTGCACGAATTCTTTTGGTGGAGTGCAGGGCGGTGGTGGGAAGGTAATATAGAAGAGATAGGCCTGTGCCTGGTGAAGTAGAAAAGTGAAAGGCTTAGAGTGGTATTTTAAAATACAACTTGGAATACTATGTAAATGGCGGACTGGAAATTGGCTGGAGGGTTGGGGAAAGATGATGATACTAGACTGGAGGAAGAAAGAGCAGGTAGAGGGATATTTCTGAAGTGAAAACCACAGAACTTAAGTTAGTGTTCTCAACTGCACTCAATGGGAGAATCACCTAGGAACCTTTTAAATTCGTTCTTAGGGAGGAAAAAAGCACCAAATAACAACTGGTTAAGTCAGAATGGTGTTGATGGTGACAGGTATCAGTGTTTTGTATAAAGTTCCCAGGAGGCAGGTGCTAGTATTTTTGTAAACATTTTCAACATATATCTGGTGTTGAGAACCATTGCTATAAACCAGGGCAAAGTCACCTGGAAGGTGAGAATGTGTGTAAGAGATGAGGGGAACCGACCAAATGGAGTGACCATTGGACAGGACTGGGAAATAAGGGAGAGGGTGAAATCTAAAGGGATTTCTGTTTGAGGCTTGCATTACAGAGTCTTTTAAGTAATTCTAAAGTGATTTAGTCATGTCCCTTAGAAACACCGTGAGATTCCTGAGATCACAGTCTGCTTAAGGAAATCAGCTAGTAAAACCGTTCAAGGAGGTTGGTCCTGAGGTGGCCCAACTGAAGCCTGTTTCTTTTTTAAAAAATATTTTATTTATTATTCTTATTTTATGTGTATGAGGATTGCCTGCATGTGTGTAAGTGCACCCATGTCATGCAGTGTTGACGGAGGTCAGAAGAGGGCATTGGGCCTCCTGAAACTGGAGTTACAGATGGTTGTTAGCCACCATGTGGGTACTGGGAATCGAACCTGGGTCCTTGGCAAGAGCAGCCAGTGCTCTTCACCACTGAGCCATCTCTCCAGCCCCAAGAAGCCAATTTCTTATTGTCAATGGGTTGCTGGCCTCACTGGCATACTATCTTATGGTTGAGCCTCAAGGTCACCTTCCCAAAGCTCGCTCCAGTCTTCCTCTGCAGCTAACACCTAATACACACTCCCTTTTCAGAGTTCTCATTAGCCCGACCTTGGAATGGAATGGTATTGCTTCTAGATTTCCTAACCCCTCCTTCACTGATTCCGTCTTGCCACCTGGCATGGCCTTGGTGACCTGACTGTATCATTTCATTATTTCATTGTATTGATTTCTTCATCCTCTTTTCTCACTGGAGTAACTGACTTTCTCTAGAAAACTTTTCATATCCCAGGAACTTATTACAAGGCTATCCATACTACTTGCTCAGTAAATATTTGCTGAGTGATTTAACAGGAACTTAACACAGTTTCAAGAATTTAGCTATACAAAGGCCTACTGTCCCTGGCCCTACCCATCAGTATAGCTCCCTCTTAAGGTGGCAAATGGAAGTACATGGAGTTTTGCTTTCTATTTTCACCTCACCCCCTTCTCCATTAAGTGCACACACAGTCAAGCAGACAGGCATGTTCATGTAAACTTGGGAAAAATGAGATCTCTTCATGAAGCCTTAACCACATTGTTTTAAAGGAGCACACTTTTTGCAACACTGGGACAGTGACTTTAAGCACATTCGCAGAGGACCTGAAGTAGAGAATTCTACCAGACACATCATCAGATCCTTGCTTCTCAAACTCCATGGTACATCCATCCATCTGAATAGCATCCTGCAATGGTGAATCCGATTTGGCAGACCTGTGCAGCAGCCCAGCAGGAGAGTTAGTGTTTCTCAGAAGCTCCCTGTTCAGCTGAAGTGCTTTGTACATAAGCCGCAATTGAAACAACGAAGTGTTATAGTGCTAACTTTGCAGAAACACGAACACTAACCTCTGTGTTTTTCAGATGACTAAAACTGACATTGGGAAGACTAAGTGACTGTCAAAACACAAGAAATGTCAAATTCTAGGAAGGTGCCTGAGCTCTAATCCACTTGCCTCTGAAGATAATGATTTGTAAAATATAGATTTAAACAAAATAGTGATTAGTGAGTCCTGTATATTGTTTTTAATTTAACTTGGATCATAGTGTCCTAAATCCTTGGTTTTCTCCTTTTATTTCTAATAGGGCTGTAACCATGTTAGCTCTCTAACAATTTGCATATGAGGACCTTACAGCTGATAGGACTTAGGAGCATACTTAATTTAACTTTTCAATGGTAAAATTGAGGAATCTGAGATCCAGGGCCGTGAATGGGCCATGTAGTCAAACAGCATTGATGAGAAAAAGAACAGGCCAGATGCTGACTAGATGTTCAGAACAGCATTATTTAATTTATTAATTTATTCAATATTCATTCGTGTGCCTGGTTCTTGACTAGACTTTTTCTTTGGACGGTTTCGCCCTCCTAGGCCTGGAATTTGCTATATAGACCAGACTAGTCTGGAACTCACAGATATCTGCCTGCCTCTGCCCCTACAAATGCTGAGGTTAAAGGCATGTACTACTTGGCTGGACTTTGAAACTTTTATGTCATACTTTCTTTTGAAGAGTAGGCTCATCTTTTTTAAAATTAATGTGAGGTAAACTCAAATCAGTATATCCAAATGAGTCAATTCATAAATGTCAAGACAGTGAAATTTTGCAACAAACATAGGTAATACAAATTAACTTTTTTTGTGACATCAAGTGAAGAGTTTCTGTCTCTTGTGGGATTTTCATTGAACATATGCATTTTCGAATTTATGTAAACATATGAAAATATGGTGAATTTGAATGTGAAATTTGCAACATGGCATATTGCATGAAAACTTTTAATTCAAGAGTAATGGTTCTCAATCTTGTTTGGGAGTTAAAGAATTTTTGAAAATCTGATGAAAGCTAAAGATCCTCTCCCCAGAAAAACAAAAAGTTCAAATCTATGTATACCAAGAAGAAAAACTGTAGCCTGGAGACTGCAACTCTCAGCAGTAGAGAGAGCCATTTCTTAATTCTTTTCCTTGTACTTTCTGTATGACACAGGAGAAAAAAGCACAGTTTAAGAAACACTGGAAGAGATTCCTATCAGAGCTGGAAGTTTTGCTACTGTGAGTATATTTTGTCTTTGATTTTACAGTGCCATGTTTGGCATGGCTGGCATTTAACTAGTGTGGCTCCAGATGTGAGGGCATCAAGTTCTCTTTTGACATCTGTTTTGGTGTATTCCTTAAAGTACATTTTCAAATAAAGCACTTATATAACTCACTTGAACATATAAAAACAAGAAATTGTCACAAGAAGTGGGTTAAATCACGTGTGACTAACATGTCTGAATAGGAACTCCTAGAATGTTAGAAGTGTAAGTATTTCACCCTTTCCCCCTTGCTTTGAGATGTCTCAGTCCAGAGACTCTTTCGTCAGTGTAACTGTCTTCAGGAAGAGAGTTTTAAACAAAGAAACCAAGTGCTTTTGATGTGCATATCATTCCAGAATCTCAGTGTCCTGGAAGACAAATTTAAATGACTTCATATGCATATGTATATGAGGTCATTTAAATATGAAATATGAATCTCTCTCTATATATATATTCATATCTGCAGCTGCTCAGCCTTCCTCACTGAAAGTCTCTAATGCCTTGGAGTTCACTCATCACCCTTTACAATGGGAAATGCTTGTTTCAGATGGTTTTGGAGCAGATATGTAAGGTGGTGGTGGAGGGAAAGTGGGGAGAGAAACATTATGCTGCATCCTGTCCCTTTTATAGCTAAGACCAGAAACCAAAATATTAGAGGTTAATCATTTTTTTAACTTTAAAAAAATTTATTTTTATTTTATGTGTGTGCATGTATTGCCTGCATGTAGGTAAGTGCACCCATGTTGTGCAATGCCCACGGAGGTCAGAAGAAGCTGTCGGATCCCCTGGGACTGGAGTTACAGACCGTTGTTAACTGCCATATGGGCGCTGGGATTCGAACCCGGGTTTTCTGCAAGAACAGTCAGTGTTCTTAACTGCTGAGCCATCTCTCCAGCCCTGAGGTTAATCTTAATAGGTACTGTTCAGCCGATAAAAGCCAGTAAATTCAAAACTTGTAGATTTTTACATTCAAGTTTTATTATTTGCTTGTGGAGGTAGAATTCAGGCATTTAAAAATTTTAGAAGTACAAAAGGCTTAAAACTAAAAATATATTTTCTCTCACTGCCAGCTGATTTTTTTTCAAAGGCAACGGTGTTACTGTGGTTATATATTTTCTTGGATATATTTTATGCATAAGCATAACCACGTATTGTATTTTGTTTTCTTTTTTTGTATCTTTTCATATAAAAAGTAACATAACACATGGTTCACTTTGCCCCTCATTTTCATTTATGCTGTACTGAACCTTTCATCTGTTGAGAGGTTTAAATGTTCTAATATTTTATTCTTCAAAAATGCTGTGACAATTTGTGGCATCTCAAAAAATATCATTGCCAAGGTCAATGTTGAGAAAATTGTGTTCTAGGAGTTTGATCACTTCAGATCTTTTAATCTCTGACAAATTTCAAGTTAGTTTTTTATTTACAATTTCAACTTCATTCTTTTCCATGTCAGTTTCCCCAGTGCTATTTATTGAAGAGATGTTTCTTTCTCCTTTGTGAATTTTTTACATTCTTGTCAAAGTTTTAGTAGATGTATAGATAGAGTCATTTTGGGCTCTAGCCTATGCCATTGACCTATGGGACTGTTTTTATACTAGGGCATGCTGTTTTGATTACTACTGTTTTGTCATGCTTTTTTAAGCCGGTGACAGATGCCTCCAGCTTTTTTCTTTTTCTCAAATTCCTTCTACTGTTCAGAGTCTTTCATAGTTTCATATTAATTTTTAGGATCTCTATGTCAGTGAAAAAATGTCATTGGATTTTGGTAGGGATGACATTGAATCTGGAGATTACTTTGGGTATATGGACATTTAAACTACTAATTCATATCGTTCCTACATACTATCTTTCTATGCTTGCATCACTAATTTTCTTCATTGTCTTATAATTTTCAGTGTACAGATCTTTTACCTCCTTGGTTAAATTTATTCCTTAGTTTAATGTTCTTTTTGATGTTCTGGTAACTGGAATTATTTTCTTCATTCCTTGTTCAGGTAGTTCATTGTGAATGTATAGAAATAAAATTGATTTTATATCTTGATCTTGTATTGAGCAAAGTTAGTGAATTTATTTATAAATTCTGGGTATTTTGGTGGAATCTTTGGGGTTTTCTGTGTATGAGATCATATGATATGCAAATTGTGTTCATTTAACTTTCTCCTTTCCAACTCAAATGCTAGTTATTTCTTTTTCTTGCTTAATTGCTCTAGCTAAGACTTCCAGCACTGTGCTGAATAGAAGTGGTGAGCCTGGGCGTCTACCTCTTGTTTCTGGTCTTTAGGAAAACACTTTTCATTCCTATGATATCACCATGGGCTGGTCACATGTAGCTCTTATATTGAGGTACATTTGTTCTACATCTAGTTCATCGAGAACTTTTTTCACAAAGGGGTATTGAAGTTTGTTAAATTCTTTCTCCTGCATTCAGTCTGCTAATGTAAAGTATTATTGACCATTTTGTGTCTATTGGGCCCTTCTTGAATCCCGAGGATAAATCACACTTTATCAGGGTAAATGATCTTTTGAATGTTCTGTCAAAGTTGGGTTTGGGGCATTTTGTGAAGTTTTGCATGTACAGTCACCAGGGATCTATGTTTATGTATGTAGTCTTTTATGACTGTTATTTTCTGTCTTTGGTGTGAGGGTAATGCTGGTCCAGCAAAATGGCTTTAAAAGTATTCCCTCCTCTTGAAGTTTTAGAAAGAATTTAAGAATGTTTGACATCAATTCTTTGTTAAGTACCTGGTGGAATTCTGTCATTAGTCTATTCATACTTATATTTCTGTTTCCTCATGACTCAGTCTTAGTATCTTTATATTTTTAGGAATTGGTCCATTTCTTCCCAGCTTTTTGCTGGCATGTGTTGTCCACAGTGGTCTCTTAATGATCTGTTTTGTTTTTGTGGTATCAGTTGTAATGTCTCCTCTTTCATTTATAATTTTATTTATTTGAGTCTTCTGAAAAGAGGAAATGAGGGTTCTTAAGAGTACTTGCTGCTCTTGCAGAAGACCTAGGTTCAATTCCTGCACCCACACAGCAGCTCACAACTGTCTATAACTCCAGTTACAGGGGATCCAACCCCCTCTGCATATATATATGCAGGCAAACACTCATACACATAAAATAGAAATAAATACATCCTTTTTTAAAAAAGAAAGAGAGGAGGCTGGAGAGATGGCTCAGAGGTTGAGAGCACTGGCTATTGGGGTTGGAGTAGAGAAATGGCTCAGTGGTTAAGTGTATTGACTGTTCTTGCAGAGGACCTGGGCTCGGTTCCCATCACCCACATGGTTCCCTAACTCCAGTTCCAGGGGCTCTGACACCCTCTGTATGCAGGCAATACACTTATACACAATTTAAAGAAAAGCACTGATTGTTCTTGCAGAAGACCCAAGCTCGAATCTCAGCACCCACATGGTGGCTAACAACTGTCCGTAACCTCAGTTCCAGGGGCTTTGACACCCTCTTCTGTCCTTGGAGGGCGGCAGGCATTGCACAACGTGGGTATACTTACATACATGCAGGCTTAACATTCATTCGCATAAAAAATTTAAAAATTGAAAAAGAAGAAAGAGAAGATAAAAGGATATCTAAGTGTAGTTTTACTTTCTTTTTCTGAGCGACATTAATGACATGTCCATATATTTTAAGATTTATGTCTCTTTGCTTTCTTCTCATTTTTTTTTTTTTTTTTTTTTTTTGTGGCTTTTGCTTGCTTTTCTGAGATAGGGTCTCACTTTGCAGCCCAGGGTGAACTAGAGCTTTCTATGTATTCCAGACTCTCTCAAACTCATGGTGATCTTCCTGCCATAGTCTCCTAAGTGCTGGGATTATAGACATGAGGCACCATGCCTGGTTTGTGTCACTTTTTCTATGGAGTATCTAATAATAGTCTTCATCTTTTTTTTTATTATGCTGTTGGTCTTTTTCTTAATAGTTTAAACAAACATTTTATATATAGGAGAAAATAAATGAGGTACAAATAAGTTTTTTTATATTAAATTTTTCTGTAGTCTCTGCTTATTCTAGTTTTATATAAGTAGAAAGTATTTTAATGTAGTTACATTTATATTTTCATGAATTCTAATTTAAAAGTCCTTCCTTACTAAGAATTTATAAAATAATTCTCCTGTCATTTTTTTTAAGAACTTACATGGTTTTCTATTTCACATTACTATATAGGTCCATTTGATTTACCTGGCACAATTTGCTTGGCTTTTTTACTAATCAATTTTATTCTTTGACAATTTCATACATGTGTATAATGCATTCTGATTACTTTCCCCTCCGCCCTCTCCTAGCTGCATCTCACCCCTACCAGCCCCCCTTCTTCCCTATACCTCCTCATTCATGACTTTGGATTTTGTTTTGTGTCCCACTGATTTGACCTGGGATGTCTGTGTGACCATGGGTTTGGAACTATCTGTTGGAGCCTGGTGGGCTCATCAGTGGATACTCAACTGGATACTATGCCTCCCCCCACCTAATAATCTGTTTGTTGTCAATAGTTCAGCAGTAAGTGATAGGGCTTCATCAAACTCTCCCCTATCCATAGCTGACTACCAGTCTTGTGTAGGACCAGTGCCAGTACCTGCAGCTACTGTGAGTTCATGATTGACATTGCCATGTCCTATTCAGATAGGGAGGATGGCATTTCACATCCCTCCTCCCTATCTTCCAGCTCTTACATTCTTTCTACACCCCACCCCCCTTCATGATGATCCTTGAACCATAAGGGGTTGAATCTTAAACAGTCATTTCTTCTCAGCATTTTTTGCAGCCATGGGTCCCTGCATTTACTTCTGCTCCCTGCAAAGAGGCTTCTCTGATTTAGACTGAGAATAGCATTTGTCTGGGGTATGAACATAGATATTTGGAAGGTAGTTTGATGCTTTGTCCATTTAGCTAAGCAGCTATGTGACAGCACTTTATAGCTATGCCTTAATAAAAACAACCTGACTCTTTGCATCC